GATTAACACTACAATAGAAGCTAGAGATATGGCTTCGATTAACAACTCGATAAATCACAATCATCGATTTTGAATACAATTATTTAGCAGGGAAGGCAGGTGGAGCTGTAGAGCTTGTCGATAAAAAAAAATCATTGCAGTTGGGGAATGGGTGGAAGACTTGAAATAAAATAGAAGATATATATTGAAGAAATTTGACAATGCTAGGGTTAACTCTCAAACGACGATGACACTAGGGTTAGCTCTCAAACGAAGGCAGTGGGCGGAGGTGGTCGACTGGGTATTTATCATCGGAGACGATTGTTATTGATAATGGTTTGGTGGAAAAATTTAGGAAATGGAAAACATAATCAAGTCTCATTGGTCTAATATGGTCTCTCGTGTCAATTCGCCTAGATTTTTTTTCTTGTTATCTAACATCCGATTTCAGGATGTTTCTTAATTTGAAATGTCAGACTTAAATTGAAACAGAAGGTCTCGGGTTTTAAAGGATGAAGTTTTCACCTTAAAGGAATGAGGTTTTCATGCTAAGTGTATAAGGCTTAAGACTTAAAGGGTTAGTTTTGGGCTAAGAGCAGTTTGGGCTTAAGCTATTTTAGGCCTTGCTGGATTAGACTTTTCATAGCGTGACACAAGAGGTGTCACAACGTGAATCCCGTTGTATGGGCTTAGGCCATAGGTATCGGGATTTGGGCCTATCTAAGAGCATTTAACCTAGGGTTTTGACATTTACAACCTCCATCACCTCCTTGAGCACCTTTAATGAAACCCTAGCCCCTTTGGAAGCTTTGAAGCTCATCCTCTCTACTAATCTCATTCTTCGTGTAGTTTTGATGCTTTTAAGTGAAGAAAAGAAGGAAGATTGATTTTAGAAGTACTCCACCTGAAGTTTTCAGCCTCCACATCATCTTTGGACCTTTGTAAGTTTCAAGATCCAAGCTTTATGTGCTTTCATCCTTAGATCTATTATAGGTTGGTGTTTTGGTCCCTTTTTGGTCCATTTCCTTAGAGTTATTTGGAGTTTGGAGAACTTTAATACATTATGCTTGAGTTTTATGAATTCTAGACTATGCTATTGATGGAAAAATGAGAATGCATGCTTTCCCTTTAAGCCATGCATTAGTTCTGGTCATCTTAAGGATAAGGTTAGACTTTTGGACACGAGAATGGATAAAGTTTGAAACCTTATCCATTAAGTCACTTAGGTGAGCTATCTTAGATTTGGGGTTTTGGACTCAAAGGATTAAGTCCTTAATGAGTAAGACTGTTAAACCAAATTTAGTGGTGCAACGACCTTGGGGTAACTACGCGACTTTGGATTTTTCCCAACTATTTTGTCTTTTAGCAATCACAGGACGACCTGGTCACAACGTGACGACGTTGACTTTTGACCAATTTGTCTTTTGGTCAAATTGTGGTATTTTGAGTTATATACCGAGTTTTAGTCTTTGATTGGTTAGGTGGTTTTTGTAGCTGGTTCATTGGACCTCAGGTAGTCGGATTCAGGTGAGTTTTCTCATTGTATTATGACATAGTTGCTATAACATGATTATATGCTTAGGTAGACTCATATGGTATTGATTTTTGTTTCTATGTTTACATGCTTCGTTAGGTTGAAACAAACCTGTTGGTTGAAATAGGTCGTTGGGTTGAAACATACCCCTTGGGTTGAAACATACCCGTTGGATGAAACATACTATACTATTGGGTTAAAACATACATGTTGGGTTGAAACAGACATGTTGGTTGAAACATGCCATTGGTTTGAAGCATACCCCTTAGGTTGAAACAAACACGTTAGATGAAACAAGCCCGTTACTCTTATGTGTAGTTATTATGTGGTATATGTGATATTTTGGGGAACTCACTAAGTTTTGGCTTTGTAATTTCCCATTTTCACAAGAAATGTTTTCATTTTTAAGTAAGGTAAAATCATCCTTTACATAGAATCCAAGTTATAAAAACCCATTTGTTCCAAAATACAGTTGTTTGAAAATCAGAGTAATAATAATAATGCATAATCTCCATTGCTATTGATGTGTGTGTACAATCATGCCTTCGCCTTTCCACGATCACCAATAGTACCTGAAAAAAAAATTAATCCATAACTGTAAGCCAAAACTTAGTGAGTTCCCCCACAATATCACACACGACACAACATACTAAACAACTACGGGTTATCAGCAACCCTGGGGACTATCAACAGTCCCAATGGGCTAACAACACATCATGTGGGTTATCAGCAACCCCGAGGACTATCAGCAGTCCTAATGCACTACCAACATGCCCTATGGGTTATTAACAACCATGTGGACTATCAATAGTCCCAATGGGCTACCAACACGCCATGGAGCTATCAATAACTTAGTAACACATAACAACAATCAACAAATAAGAACATAAACACATGCAACACCTACACTAGTCTACTGGACTAACAACTCACTACCGCATGCCGAGCCTCTCACCGTACTCTACATCGCTAACAACAGATCACTGTTGAATGCATAGCAATATGTAATTAGAGGTGAGATACACAGTCGAACATGTGATCCCACTTTAGAGCCCAACCAAACAAGAAACAAACATGTAATCCTAGATCAAGAGTTCTCAAGCTATCCTACATGACTGCACAAAACCCATAACATATTAAACTAGACGATCACTAACCTCTTGGTACTTTAACGAACGTACCACTACCCCTATGTAAATATAATCAGCTATGGGTTATCCGTAACCCTGGGACTATCAGCAGCCGTGAGGACTATCAATAGTCTTGAAGTTGTCAGCAACTCGGTAAAAACTCATAACAACCATCAAATATTAAGACTCAGCTAGTCTATCATGCACCCTACTATAACATAGGTAATATAGTGAGAAAACTCACTTGAATCAAAGATCCAAGGCAACAAAACAACACGCTCACTCTCTGCACTGGTCGCTTCCACAAACTAACTAGAACCAAACAAATATGGAACCTTAATCAATACCCCAATCCCCTTTAAGTTTGACCTAAGCTCAAACTGGTCAAAAAGTCAATGGTTAACAAAAGTCAACGTTTAACCCTTACCATGACGTGGCGAACTCTTGGTCACATTGTGGGAACATCCGGACAAAACAGTCGCAAGGACCTCAAATGTCACGACGTGACATACATATTGTCACGTTGTGGGATCTGACTTTAGACAACTTAATAGATTAAGCCCTTAATCCATTAAGCCACACATTTATCCATTCTAGAAGGCTTCCTTACACCCAAAGAGTTATAAAAATTGCTGCTTTATAGACATGCACGCCCTATACAAGACTTGAGCTCAAACTAGGTCATAAATGATGAAAAAGAGGTCAAAACCTCATGCATGAGTTCAAAACTCTACCAAATTTCAGATCCAACACATATAACCACAAAGGGACTCTAAGGATCCATAAAGTTGCCAACTTTATGGAATCCTAACACTCCAACTAGTCTAAACATGGAGAATAATGCATAAAAGTCTAGATCTAGCAACATAAAATCATAAAGCTTGGAGCTTGAATACTCACAAAGGTCCAAATTAAGTGTTAAAAGATGATGATGAGACTTGCAAGCTGGATCTATGCTCCAAGGATGACCCCTTCTCCTTCAAGACACCAAAACCCCACCAAAATCTCAAGGACTCATCAATGGAGGCTAGGGTTTCGTTGAGAATGTTGGAGGTTGAAGAGGATGCCCTAAACCTTGAGTTTAGGGCTTAAATATGGAAGGAACCCTAAAGATAATGGGCTTGGGATTCAGTTGAGGTCATGTCATGACCTTCCTTTCATCACGTCGTGACGACCATTCCCGACGCACGTTCATCCAATTGGCATGTCACGTCGTGATGCTCCATTCATCATGTCGTGACACAAGGTTTTTCCCAAAAACCTTATCTTTGTTCATTCTAAACCCTCATCCGATCTAATCTGGAAAATGGGTGTTACAGGCTTACAGTTGTGGATTAAATGTTTTTCAGATGCTTATCGAATGGTGAAAAGGCAAAGACGTGACTGTACACACACATCGACATATTTATGATATGAGGTTCTATGATGTTTTTTTATAACTCTGATTATGGATTGTGGTTTATGAAGAAATGGTTTCAAGTTGATTTCAGTTCTATGAAAATGGATGTTTATATTATTTTAAAAATAAAAAATTTATTATGAAAATTGGGACGTTAGATGTTAATCTATTTTTTGTGTGTTAATATTTGGAGGTATTTGCGTGTGGGGTTGTATCTACGATTTTCCCACCAGGGTTTTTGTGTTTTGGATTTGAGTTTGGGTTGCATGTTCAATTTTGGATTTAGATGTGAATCGAAGGTTCAATTTTGGTTATGGATTTGATATTCAGGTTTGATTTTGGTTTGGATTTGAATTGCAAAATGGATTTTGGTTATGTATTTAATTTACTGGTTCGATTTTGAACATTTAGGTAGATTTGTATTGGGTTTGAGGCGATATCTTGTGATATTGGGTGGCCGGAGATGGTGACCAAAGTTGCTACCTTGAACTGGGTTCATCAATTTAGGGAAAGAAGACGACGTGGGTTAGATGAGGCCCACGAAATTAAAAAAAATAAAATAAAAAATAAAGAAATACCTGAAAAGTCAAAAATGCCCCTTTTAGAGACATGTGAGACTTAATGAATGTTTTGGATGGACACTTAATTCGAGGGACCAAATCTGTTTTGAAGTTTCAAATTTAGACCGACTATGAGATAAAAAAAGATTTGGAATCAAATTGTACTTTTTAGTAAACCACAAAGATGAATTTTTCAATTTACTCTAAATATAAACATGTCTTTTACATATATTTAATGGTTTGATATTAAAGATATTAATAGAAAAGATCAATAATACAACAAAATAAAACCATTATAAAACCATTAGGACCAAAAATTTAATGTTTGTTATAGTTATCCTCCAAATTAACAATCTTAAATTTTGTCTATATATATAATGTATAATGACAGATAGCATATTACAAAACCCACCTAGCCAAGCAACCGTCCGTCTTCATCTTCCCTTTCCACCTTACAATCTCTCTGGACTCTCTCTCTTACAAAGAGAAAGCGAGACAATCTTACGACATCACACCCATATCACGTTCGGAGCTATTTGATTACTCTTTTGCTCCAAAATTAAAGCAAAAGATATGGTGGGTCTTTTCTCTAGATTTTCTGTCAGCAAAAATGGCCATCGTCGCTCCCAAAGTGCACTCGTAAGTAACAACCATCTCTCTGTAAACTCCTTCTAACTATTGATCACAGTTCATGGATCCTGTATCTTCTCTTATTTCGCTAAGTCCTTTTCTATTTTGTCTTAATCAAAATTCAATCCATAAAGTTTTTTAGGTTGATTATGAGTACTGGGTTATTCGTTTTCTAAGCAATTCGTTTGCCATTTGTAAATTCAAAATTTGGGGGTTTGACTTTTTCTTCAATAGCCTGAACAAAGAATCTGATTCTGGGCTTTCTGGCTCTCTTTCATGATGAAATCCAATTTTGATCGTATATTGTAAATTGTATTTGCTGCTGAAACTGACTTGATTTTTTGGATTTTGGCCGTTGTCTTCATCGAAAACACAAAAGTCAAATTTTGATTCTGTTTACACTTCTACCATGTTTGACTATCGAGAGTCAAATGAGTTCAATTCGAAACCAAAATTGATGAAAGTTGTTTCCTTTTATAGAATACGATTACTATCCTACATCTAACTATACAACACTTATCATAAATTACATGTCAATTTTGCATTTGGAAAGCATAAGTTTTGACTATAGTCGATTGATATTTTACATAAAGGACGAAAGGGAAGCTGTAGCTCAAGATACAGAGGATATAGAAACAACTGGTAATGTTACAGGATTTATGTCGACTTCTCATCATGGAATCGAAGTCGCAGTTGAGTTTAAGCCTGTGGAGCATCCGATTGAGCCTCTTGACCTCGATCAACCCATTCAATGCCCATTGCCCGAACCTTCGATCCTCAATGTAAGCCCATGATTATTTATATTCCATTATATTTGATAAACCTGACATTTGGGGAAATGGGAAAGAGAAATAAAGTAGGATAATCTAATAAAAAAATTAAAATGTAATGGGAAAAAGGTAAAAAACCCTTATATAGTATCTCTTTCTTTTTGTATTAAGTTAAAAAAATTGCTCTTTTTGTATTAGATTAAAAAAATAAGTCGTTTGGATACCGGTAAATTAACGTTTTAGCTAGAAATGAATGTTAGTTATAAATGTTATAATTATGAATTCCAAATAAAAAAAATTACAAAGTTATGAAATAGTAAAATAAAAAACATTTGGCTAAAAACTAATAGCAAGTCTTGTCTCATCCATAAACTATAGTTTAATGGAATGGTTGGATCTAATGTCAACTAGACAGTTTATGAATCATAATGAGTTTAATGACTATTGAATCGTGCAATGGAATTTTTTTTTTAGGGAAATCTTCGGTAAAATTTGTGTTAATATTTTGGGTCAGTTTATGGTTTAATTATAATATTTATTTTTTGAATAGAAAAATCCCGATTATATAATTTTATACGACAATTTGTCATTTTATTTTGAAAAAAAATAAGGATTGTTTCGTTAATTTGTGTAAAATATTAAATAATCAGAACTTTTCTATTCAAAAAATAAAAGTTGGGATTAAACCGTAAACTGATCCAAAATATTAAGACTTTATCAGAGATTTTCCGAACTTTTTAATATAAAATGATTAAAACAAAAATGATTTTTTTTTTAAATTTATGTTCGGTTAAACATTTGTAGATCATAATGCATTGTAGGAAAAATATGGTACCTATGAAAAATAGAATGATGATCAATCTTTTAAACTCTATAAAGTTTAATGTATTGTAGTATGTGTCAAGCCTTTTTTTTTATTTGACAATCTATATATGTATTCTTTATTCATTTTTGGACCTTGTTTGCTAATTTATATGCTTTGTTACATAACAAAAAGGATGGGAGAATATGGAAAGAACGCGTATCTGCAGGCGTGCAAAAACGGGTCGATTTACCCGGAATGCATGATGAAACGGGGGGCCCACCCGAACCCGAGACACCACGATCAAAATCACGACCTCGGACAAATCGAATGATATTACCATCGATTAGTGCACCTGAACATAATATTCTAAAACTCCTAGAAGAGTCGGGGATGTAAAATGTAAATTTATGGCCATCGTTTGTTCAAATTTGGATGCAATTTTTGGGTTTTTTCATTATATGTTTTATTTACCGTTTTCAAAAACACAAACACAAGAACGACATTATATGTACATATTCTAAAGTTTTTTCATGCTGCTTATTAGAATATATGAATATATATAGAGATATACATATATATGTTTGTTAAACATGTTATCCAAGTGCGAGTTGTGTTTAATCTGTTATGGTTCTTTTCACAGTCGACCCCTCCAACTACATATCCGACTTGGACATACAGTCTCAACAAACAAACGTTCTGGAGTCTGATTAGACGACATTACGACAATGTCTTTCTTCATTGGTTAATGAAGTCATGACATTTATGGGTCAAATATTGGTTATACCTCCTCCAATTACATATTATTCAAATCACTTATTTTGGTCCTAGTTTGAGTTTAAGACCTCAAGAAACTTTTAACATCAATAAGTCATCCTCTTCCATATCATAAAAGTCTTTTCTTCAAGTCCGCATACTTCTTTGTCTATCTTGAGTTGCTCTTATATTCACTTGAATCACTTAAAACATTTTCATTAGTTATTGTCACGATTTTCGGATCTTTGATTTTCTTTTCACCAACTTCAGTCAACATAACGATATTTTACACTTCCTTCCATATAATACGTTGCACAATGGCATTCCAATACTCGAGTGTTTACTATTGTTATACAAACTTTTTATTAAGTGGTAAGTGTCTGCCCCATTTACCTTACCATGGAAGTCAACCATACATGATCTTCAACTATCTGAATTGTCCTCCATTTCAACCATTTGTTTGGGGATGACAAGCCATGCTCAAATGGATTTTTGTCACCAAATCTTCTTATAACGAGTTCCAAATAATAGAAGTAAATCTTGTATCCTTATTAGACATAATACTTGGTGGTACTCCATGCAATCTCACTATACTTTGGGCACATATAACTTTAATAACTTCTCAAGTGGCAATGTTTCTTTTATCACCAAGAAAAGTATGCTTTTAGTCAAACGGTCAACAACGACTCATATAAAATCATGAATTTTACTTGTCCTTGGAAATACCACCATAAATTTCATCGTCATTTCATCCCATTGTTTGGAACATAACGACTTAGATTTCCCATAAGGCAATTGGTGTTCGGATCTTACGTGTACATATGTTGCATATTCAAAAATCTATTTAGCTACAAAATACTTCATATCCGACCAACAATACATTCTTTTCAAGTCTATATATGTATTTGTATTCCTAATATGAATGAAATACATAGTCTAATGGGCATCATTAAACACTAGCTCCTAATTGTCTCCGAATCCGGAAACCTAAATACATCTCTAAATTTTTTTTTCAACCTTGATAGTTTTCTTTAAAATCCATTTTCTTGCCTACATTTTCTCACTTTATGTTCTCCTCTTTCATGGCTTCCACTTGTGTATTTTCTATTTTCTCAATAACATTAGATATTAGTTCTATTCTCATTGATCTTCATTTAATTAGCTTTTCTTTCTCTTTTTGGATCAAGGCGTCGACTATAACATTAGCTTTCCTAACATAATAAATTAGTTCACAGTCATAATCATTTATAAGCTCAATTCACCTTCTTTTCCACATATTAAGGTAATTTTGAGCAAACACATAATGGGAACTTTTGTAATCCCCGTAAAATTTGCATTTCGTTACATGCAAATAGTGTCTCCAAATGTTAAGCGCGCAAATAATAGTTGTAAGTTCCAAATTGCGAGCCGTGTATCTTATTTATGTGTCTTTCAATTTCCTAGAAACATAAGAGATTACTTTCCCTCTATTCATTACACCATATCCGAGGCCTTTTGTTGAAGCGTCGGTTTAAACCACAAAGTCTGTTGGAAAATTGGTTTTACCAATTTCCAAAAATGGTTTTTTCCCATTTTGAACATGAATTTCAAACTTTATATGTAATCAAAATGGACAAATGATTTTATATTCGTGTTCTCCTCCGTGACACCTTCGTTTTGATATATTATACGTCTAAAACGGATTAAAGATGAATAGGAAATTACATGTTAAAGTGAGGTGTTTGGAAGAGTATAAACAAGTGGTTTATTGGGTTTACTTCATCCCACATTGGTGGGAGTATGAAAAGGAAATGAGTTTATAACTAGAAAGCCTAACTACCTTTGTAAGACTTATGAAATCTAGACTCTCTCTTACGTGTGTCTCCGGGCAACTGAATGAATTTGTGTGTGAGTGCACGTCCAAAAAAGTTCTTATTAAGAATTTTTTTTGCAATTATTTCTTTTTCAATTAACAGTTACAAACCCAAAGTAAAGACCATTAATAATTACATTTTGGTTTTGATTCATTAATTAAATAAAGCTCTTTAATTCTTCATCAGATTTTTAACCTATATTATTCCCAGTATAAATACACGTCTTAGGCTATTGATTGGATACACCAAATGAAACGAAATACTTCTCTTCCTCTCTTCCGCTTCTGCTTCTTTTTCCAACTCTTGTTGAAACAAAGGTATTTTTCGGGCCAATTTAGGGTTCGGGTGACCTAGAAGAGTCACTTTTTGTTGTTGTATATTGGGAAAAAAAACACCCATATAGGGTGAATTTGTTTGAAGGAAACTTTCTTAAATACATGCCTCAACCAAATTTCTTTACGTTTGTTCTTTTGTGCAGTTTTGGGTGATACTCTCCTAATAGTCTTAAAACAAATCGTTTGTGCGAAAGAAACAATTGAAAAAAATATTAACCGCTTCTGTCTTCTGTTACAGTTCTCAAAGAAAAACAATTTTTTTTTTCCTAAAACAGCTTCTGATTTATGTTTTGTTTCAGGTTTCTAGTAATACCACTCCTGGTTTGCTTATGTTTTCAGAAATTCTTTTCTAAAACAGATTTCTAAGTGTTTAACAGTTTTCAAAATCTATTTTCTGAAACCATACTCATTTAATAGTTTTACTTGTTGTGAGTGTGTACTAATCTTTAACTGTTTTATTTTGGGTTTAACTAAAACTGTTGGTTTTATGTGTAGTATGACTGTTGAAAGCTCCCAACACCCAAATCCTAATGGTACTCCTAATGCTCAAGGGGATACAATGATGACCATGCCAGTCAATCTTACTGAGAAACTTGGAAAGTTATCTGGACCTCACTTTAAGAGGTGGCAGCAAAAGATGCTTTTCTACATTACCACATTAAATCTTGCTATATTCCTGGCTCCAAGGATGCCTAAAGGAGAAGAAGATGTGAAAGCTTTGAGTGAATCGAAGCTTGGAAACATTCTAATTTCTTATGTAGAATTATGTTCTTAATGGTCTTGTTGATCCGCTTTATAATGTGTATTGTGCAACAAAGATAACCAAAGAACTATGGGATTCATTGGACAAAAAGTATAAAATTGAAGATGCTAGGACAAAGAAATTTGTAGTTGTCCGGCTTCTTGAATATAAAATGGTTGATGACAAAACTATTATGTCCCAAGTGCAAGAACGACAAGTCCTCCTAAATGACATGCATGCCGAAGGTATGGGGTTTAATGAGCCTGTTTATGTTGCTTCCATGATTGAGAAGCTACCCCCTAGTTGGGTTGATTTCAAGAATTACTTGAAACATAAGAGAAAGGAGATGTCCATTGAGGACCTAACTGTTTGCCTTCAAACTGAAGAGGACAATAAGGTAGCTCAAAAGAGTACCTACAACCCTATCTCTGAAAAATCTAATATGGTGGAGCATGGTCAAAGTTCTAGAAAGGGTAAATTCCAAAAGAAAGGCAAGGGTTGAAACTTGGGAGCCAAAGGTGGAACTTTCAAGAAAAAGTTTCAAGGAAACTGCCACAATTGTGACCTACGTGGTCATCGGGCTGCCAGTTGCAAGCTTCCAAAGAAAGCAAAGGAAGTAAACATTATGGAGAAGATAACCAATGATGTGTCTGACATCGATCTTGCAATGGTTATTTATGAAGTTAACCTTGTGGAGTCCAATCCAAGGGAATGGTGGATTGATACAGGAGCTACCTGTCATGTTTTATCGAATAGAGAATGGTTTAGAAACTTCAAGGTTGTGGAAAATGGTGATAAGTTATTTATGGGAAACTCGACAACTTCTGATATCCAAGTTTTTGAAAAGATTGTGTTGAAGATGACGTCGAGAGGAAAGCTGACATTGAATGAAGTGTTTTATGTACCCCAAATTCATAAGAATCTTGTGTCGGGTTGGTTGTTGAACAAGAATGGTTTTCGCTTTGTTTTTGAGTCGGATAAATTTGTGTTAACCAAAAATGGTGTGTATGTAGGTAAGGGGTATGTTCAAACTTTGTGTAATGGCTCTTAAGCCAAATGATAATGAAATGAATAACTTTTCTACTTACTTTATTGAGTCTTCAAATATTTGGCATGCTAGATTAGGACATGCTAATTTTGATACTCTTCGACGTTTAATTAAACTCGAACACATACCACACTTTCACACTGACTCAAAATACAAATACAACATTTGTGTTGAATCAAATTAACAAGCAAATCTTTCATGTCTATTCAAAGGATAACTGAACCACTTGGATTAATTCACACATATGTGTGTGATATGAAATCGATTCCATCTAAGGGTGGAAATAAGTACTTTATCACTTTTATTGATGATTGCACTAAATTATGCTATGTTTATTTACTTAAAAGTAAATATGAGGCCATAGAGAAGTTTAAAGTGTATAAAAGTGAAGTTGAGAATAAAATCAACAAGAAAATTAAAGTACTAAGAAGTGATCATGGATGTGAATATATATATATATATATATATATATAT